AAAAGGATTATGTGTTTCTGTTTGAAGTGGAACAAGGCACGTTCCAGATGGAATCTGATCCCTCGCAGGAGGGCAGACAGGTCGGGCGGTTGACAGGATCAAAACCTCCTAACTACATCTGTCTAAGAACAAACCATACTCCCCACATCTGGCCACTAAAACACCACATCATCTGCAAACTAACCGACAGAGAATCATCATTTACCACATCAACAACAACCTTTAGCATACATTTCACTTCACTGAGAGGATGACAGCAGATTAATACACTGAGGCAGGGCATAGCTAGATTTAAATGTCACCGGGAGAATTGATATGACAGGAAAATGATTTGGCCCCTACAGCTGCTTATGGTAAGGGGATACTATCATTCTGTCAGCGCCAGTGTCTGGCACAAATGCCTATCATTCCACTCGTGGCTTTAGAGTGGTGCAGGAATGAGTCCTAAAACCTGGAAGTGTGTCAGCATTTGACCACTTCTGGCACCCTCGTCTCCAGTCAACGTTCTACGTGATATATGGTTTGTGGTTAACACAAGCGTAAGATTTGTCATATTTTGTTCTACAGCATCAAATATGTCAGTTTGTACCTGCTGAATGTCTGAGGCTTGTATGTGTCTTAAAAATGGCAGTTGCTAACAAGTGACTAAATAAACTACAAAAAGTCCCCATGCCAAACATTAGCCAACTTTAGCTTAGCGATGGTGGCGTGCCGTGAAGTCATGTGACCAGGATGTAGTTCTTTTATAGCCCAGCTTTTGACTTGCATTTAGACTCAGGGTGTTAACATGTGGATATTATCCTGCTTTGTTTCCCACAATATTTCTTCGTCCAATATAAAAATCTCATTGCTCTTTTGTTGAGGAAGCCCTTGCGATGTTAATTTCCAGGTCAGCCTTAAGGAATACGTCATCCCTGCACCACTCTATGATGAGGGTAGCCTCTGACATAATCTGAAACCACAGCTCACACCGGGCAAGAGCAGGAATTGTCAGCAATTTTAATGTAAACAGAAACTCATTGACACCAATGTAGTGACTTCAAACCAGGCATCACTAACCCATTCAGTGCCATGAAAATGTAGTCTTGAAGCCTAGCAACAAGTCTATGAACCACGTCTATTATCCATCCTCCCACCAGAGGAATTCAGAGCGTCCAAACGCAGCAAATGACTGCAGCTGCTGGCAGATACAGCCTCAAAACCACACCAACTGCATGCCCTGACAACTGTGACAACCGAGGCGTGCCACCGTGACTGTGAGCACAGGCGACAGCGCAGTTTATCTCCGCTTTATCTGCAAATACACTGCGGGGCGACTGTCGGTTTCCTGCAAGCCTTTATCAGCCAGAAAACAGAAGGAAATTCAGCCAAACATGGATCTGTTGGTGTTTTTGATAATCCCTAAACAAGAAGCTATTGTTGCCTTGGATTGAAACGGGGCTTGAAGTGATGGTGGTAATTTAAAAAGACGGCAAAGAGGGCAAGGGTCACGGGTTCAGAGAGAGTAAAGCCTGGTGACCAGAGGCACAGGCTTGCCCTTGTCTCAATCTGAGTCACACACCCAGAAAACATCAGTCCTGAGGCTACGGCCAGGCTGACAAACAGGGCTATTAATGCCACAATCATCTCCAATCTCAAAACGATGGCACGGGTCAAGAGGCCAGCTGGAGGCAAAGAAGGTTATCAGGATTTAAATTGCCCTGAAATATAAGCGTCGGAAACAGTTTTTAGGCATGTGTTGCAAAGAATAATCTCAACAGAAGACACTAGTCGATGGTTTATTTAAGATTATCTCTAATTCTAACGCTTCTGTGTGAACTGCAACTCATTATTTCAATTTTATGTATCAATTCGGTATCACACATATTTTCGCCATCAATTATTCTGCCAAACGTTTTCTCATTTAGTTCAATTATTCGGCCTAAAAGAGGTCAGAAAAAATATATATTACCTTAATTATATTCTATTTTCTATCTTATATGACAAAGAAACACAGCAATTTCTTGCATTGTAAAGGAGTCGTCTATCATCAAATCATTTCCCAATCATTTCTCTTTTGATCGATGAGTTGGTTCATTGACTAATTGTTTTGGCTCCAGTTGAATGAATACATTACTGACTATACTTAATTCCAACACATAATGAAAAACACTCATATTTACAGTTTCAGAGCCCAAAACAATGCCTTAACACAGGGGTGCCCAATACGTCCCTCCGACTGGTCGATCGCATGGCATTGGAAAAAAAAGAATTAAATAAATAAAAAACATTTAATTTTCTTTTTTATTAAGTTACCTATCATCCATCCTTACTATGGCATTTGCCACTTGATTGACGTACAGGTAAGCCAGTCTGAGTTGTATTGTGCCATACGGGGTCATAAGGGTTTACGAATAGTTTGTAACTCATTTATTAATCAGGTTGTGAACACTTTATAAATCATGAATAAGCTTTTATAAGACATGAGATAAACAGGGCAACTGTGAGCGGTTGCTTGCCAAATAGTGAGCCCACATGTATCTGTAGTGCTAAGCCTTATATTGGCTACCTAACTTACTTCGTCTCCTTCATCAGCCAGCATCCTTGGTATCTGTTGTTCACCGAGTTGATTCTCGCTAAGTAGCCAATGTAAGGCTTATTCATCTTGCCAAACAGTGAGTCTGTGTTGATGTATGCAAACTATGTTACAACTAGTTTATAAATGGTTCTTAATGATTAATAAAGTGTTAACAACCTAATTATAAACCCTTTATGAATCCTTTATAAGGGTAGTCTTATTGTAAAGTGGTACCCATGAATACAATATAAACAAACATCTTTTTGCATTACTGAACCTGTAAGCAAAATGATTAAGATATCATCGTTTTTTTGTACAATTACTATTAAACTAATCAAATGTGCTGCTTCCCTATAGTTTTACAACCAGTCATTGACTTCCTTAAGCACAGTTTCAGAGTAAGCAGCTACATGTTTGAATGTCTGCTCCCTGTGCTTATGTAGGACTGTTCCAGACACAATGCCTTCTCCTTTTTATAGCGATGAGTCTGAGACACTCAGCCGTCATTCTGTCTCCAACAGAGCAGATCTGCTAATGACAGGAGACAAAGTCATGCATCCTTTTTTAAAAACCCACTAACAACAACAAGGAAGGAAACATGTAAATGCAGAAGGAAAAGGAGATTATTGTAATTTTCTGCTTTTTCACAATCACAATAATCGGCCTCGGGCAGTAATCCACATCCTGCATTAATCCCTTTAAGTCAGTCTTAAATAACTTTATAAAAACAGACTGCAGTTTTTAATGGCAGCTAAATGTAATTTCATTTGATTGCATTAGGCCGACTGCCTGTCCTCCATTTCCCTGCCTCATCTACTAACACTGTGAGTCAGCCATTCTCTCATCCGACGGGGGGGGGGACTAGTTGATGGCTTAGCCCACCTCTGACTTAAGAGTCCTGGAGTGTCTCCAAGCCGACGAGCCTTAAAAGTGCTCATATTAGTCGCCCCGGGATGCCATTTTACTGAGGATGACATCAATACATTTCACATTATTGAGCCGCAACAAAGCGAGAGACCATTTAGACTTCTGTGTGCAGCCGAGGAGAATAACGGTGGTTGAAGATTTTCAGAGCTTGCATGTTTATGAAATGCTTTTGGCCAGGCTTTGGGAGCTGGCAGTGTTTCTTCTCCTCGCCATTGTTCTACAAAAGGGGAGTGTGATCCGTCTTCTCACTCACAGAAAAAGAGGGGCAGCGAAGGGGTCGCCTGACTTCACTTCACAATAGATGATCATTTTTTAAGGGGTGACATTAATCGCATCTGATTACATGCCATCTTAAATCTTTGCGATATTTTAGCTTGCCTCCGAGAGTCTCAAGGAATCATGCCACAAATGCCCCCTCACTTATTGGGTTTAATTGACATGAAACCTAAGTGGACATCTGCTAAATGATTAGCCCCTAAATGTGCATGCTTGCCCCCCTGAGGCGACTGAGACATTTCTCAGCACCACTTCTCAGAACAATGGGCATCCGCGATGGAGGATGGAGAAGGAGGGGAGATAAGAACAAAAAGTTTAGGGAGGGGAGGGAAAGCAGACAAAATGGGTTCACAACGAGGGATTCTGTATATGAAAACGAAGCATAAAAGGAAACATTGTGTGGGTTTTAGGCATGCTTGAGGAGTAACGGATTACGTCATGAGGATACAAAAAAAGGTATCCCCTTACAGTTACATATAATAATCAGATTACATTTCTAAAAATTGGGGATTACTAGCAGGATTAAAATGTTAGTAAAAAACTATAAAGAGCATATTTAGTTTGTCGTAAATGGATCAGATTGTATTTCTTCTTTGTAAACTGTACTGTTCTGTAGGCTAATATGTATATCAGGTGTGAATATTTCTGTTTTTTTGCTTAATGAAAGGCAGGTTTTCCTATAAATAAAATCATTTTTTATCCTAGATATCTTCTTCTTTTCTAAGGTTACATTGTTCTGTCTTACCTAATACACTCAAGTAAAAATATAGATATTTATTTTCTCTTGGATTTAATTGCATTGCATTTCATATTGAGATAATCCAAAAGAAGTAATCAGGTATATTACTATATTTTGATTCTTAGATTACATTTTTCTTTTTACAAGTTACTAGGAATTGTAATGGATTACATTTATAAAGTACCCCTTCCAACCCTGGTTTGTGGTTAGACAACAGAGCTGATGTGTTGAGACACCGCCCCATCGACCCCTTTCACCGGGGAAGGAATCAGAGCAACAAAAAACACCCAAAAAAACACATTTTAGACATTTTTAACATAAATATGCATCCGCACAAAGACACAACACTTATCTATGCGTTGTTAAGTGCTATAACATGTTAACGGTTGGTAGAGCTCAACGTTTATTAACGGTCGACACATAGAGCGTTCATTTTAAATAACCGTTAATAAGCCGTTTTGTTAGCTCAAAATGCTAAAACAAATCTCGCCCTTTACTTACCAGTCGGTGCAGAGGCGAGCTAGCACACAATCCTACCCAGCTACGCCCAGTGTTAGCAGGCAGCACACCCCGGCTGAATCCTCCGGAAAGTGGAGGATGAAGGGAGGAATAAAAACCGGGAGAAAGGGAAGGGGATTTAGCCGGAGAGTGGAGCTGGATTAAGCCGGAGAAGTAGTAGAAACTTCGGGGTGTTTCAGGGCGCCGCTGCTCACAAGTGATGAGCGTTCAGTGAAAGGAAGAAAGGAGGAGAATGACGCTCTATCACACACACACACACACACACACACACACACACACACACACACACACACACACACACACACACACACACACACACACACACACACACACACACTTACGATAGTAGAGCGGTGATGGACAGGCGGAGGAGAGGAGAGAGCTGCCTTCAGGTGCAAGCAGGGAACATCGGAAAAATGAAACGTTTACTTATTTAAGACGTCATCATCCACACAAATATATCTGGCTGACTCAGTTTGAGAGTAAATTAAATCATTGTTTGACCTATATTTAAAACAAGCCTATCATTACTTTATACTTATATTTATTTCATACTTAATATAAGGTTTTAGCAACACATCCTTGGTAAATAACAAATCAAGTTCTTCATGAAAGTTATCCCCCGGTTTGAAATTGATACCATTAACGGTTAGGTAACTAGCATTAAGCTAAACAATGAGCTAATGTTATACCCTAGACTAGAGCTATTTAGCTTAGCCTAGAATAATTACTTTCTCTGTCTAATATAGGTAACAAAATCCACTTACCAGCAGCTTTTAAGTTTGATAATTAGCAACGATTTATCTTTTTTGATCCTTAATAAAACTTTTAAAGGAAGGTTTTTGTGACAGGATAACTTGGGTTAGAACAGTTGCCAGGCAACAACTATTGACTGAAGGGAGTAACTGGCCCCGGCAAAGAAATATCAGTTTCCATTATTATTAGCCATTTATCAATCAATAAACCATTTGTATTTCGAATATAAAGAAAATACATGTAATGCCTGTTTATAGCTTGAACCATTACATGCAGAGTGTACACAATCAGCCCTAATCAGTAACCTTCTAATTGCAAATGTGTTTAGAAATAAGTAAAACCATTTACTCAAGTGAAGTATTATTCATTCTAGACAGGAGTAACTTGTATCTTGAAGGTGTAGGGACACTATTGTGCAAATGTGTAGGTTAATATTTGTGTCATGTGCCTAAATTGTGACATGTTTCCATGTTTTAAAAAGTCTTTATTTTTCTCATACTGGTATGTTAGCCTTTTGCAGACTATTTACATGCACACAAACCTATAGAACACACTACAGGAAAGGGAAACCTATAAAAAGCATAATAGGGCCTCACTACGCTGTGGTTTTTCAATGTTATCATACCTGTTTGACAAGTGTAGCTACATGTCTAACATCAAAGACGTCGTTGTATAGAGTCAGGATCCGCCCTGCCTAGTGGGTTAGTCCTGGGTGTGACAAGATTGAAATAATACATCTAAATAAATGTCTAAATTAATAACGAAATACAAATATTTGGTCTCTTCAAACGGGCAAACGCTGCTCTTATTCGCATTATTTTCATAGAGTTGGTCAACACCATCAGTATTTTGACAAGGAAGTTAATGAATACAGGGTGGAGTGTTTGCTTTGCTTATTTTCTCTGGTGTGGCAACATCTGGCACATCAAAACAAACAATGCTAAACCAACATTACAAGACATAAACACAGCAACACATACCTTTGTAAATAATAAAAACACAAGTCAAGAAAACTCTTTTTACAGTACATCCTCAGAAATAGGAGGCTGCTGTGGGTCCTTGAAGGCACCCTGAAATTGAAAGGGGTGAATAGCGAATAGCAGGGCAACTCTGCTTTCCAAATGCAGCCAATCGCCTCCCAGCCCGGGGGATTATTCAAATCAAGGATGATGTCACCTCATGCAAGTCACCATGCTCCCTCACCCCTGTTGTCCCCGGCTGTCTGTTGTCCTCCCTCCCTCCTATTGGCCCCGGTACCCCTTTTCTCTCCTCTTCAAACCCTTTTCTTCCTTTCTCCATGCCCCACTGCACACACACACACACACACACGCACGCACGCACGCACGCACACACACACACACACACACACACACACACACACACACACACACACACACACACACACACACACACACTCTGTAACGGTGCATTACTGCTGCCCCACATGCATCAAGTTGCAGGCATTGTCTG